CTGACTTTTTATTTGCAAAAAAAAAAAAAAAAAATCCATTTGAAAATGTTTTTGAAAGAACTGACAAATCATTTTCCTTAATTATTTTTGAGAAAATGTTCTGTTGCAGCATAGCATTTCCGCATATGGGACTGAACTCGGAACTCTGAAATCAGTTTGGTTTTCCCCTCTTCGTCATTTTCTCCGTCCCTAAAGGCAGGATGATTTGGACTTTCCTCCGGTATCTGTGTGCCTTATTGCTGTTGCAGGATGCATGTGACAAAGTTCAGTTTATGGTCATTATAATAATTTAGCATTACCTAAGATTGCTAGGTTTAAAGGATTAAATATCTGAGAAGGTTAGCAGCTCAAACCACCTTGTTGCCTGGTATTTCCATTTAAAAAACATTGTGTTAAATTTCAGTCCTTTATTCCGAGCGATTGTCATTATCATTTAGGGAAAAAAACAAGTTGCAGCAACATGTGTGTACTGAATGCTTACAGTCATGCTCAAAGGCACTAAATTCTATTTAATAACAATAAAAGTTAATATTTTTTCCATACATTTAAATACCACTCATCACACATTTCACTGCTTAACAGCATTCTAACAACTGGAGTTGACATTACATACAGACGTTGCAAATGTGTAAATACTATTGGCATATTATCAAATGTAGTGCTTGCATATGTACATGTGCACAATGTGACAACATATTGCTGAAACAAAAGATGGCATTGTTAACTTGCTTTACATGGAGACTTGGTTTTAGAAATGCCCAACCACACAAAGTGTAAGACAACTTGCAGTGCCATGAGAAAAGTCCTTTAACACACGATTGTTTAATTATAACAGTGTCCGATTTAGACAATGAACCACTGAGCCAAACAAACTAAAGAGAAAGGAATTCCCAGTTAATTTTGTTGAGAATCGCCGTTTTGTTTTTCTTCAGCAGGTAATACATCAGGTTTTGATTTCGCCATTGTCTCCGCTGTCTCCGGTTTTAGCTAGAACAGTGTTGTCCCTCTGGGACGTGTCCAGAGCGAGCTGCATGGCCCAAACACTAAGAGGCCTCATGTAGGCCAGTGAGCGGTAGATGTTCCTCTCGCAGTAAGCTTCAGGAGTCTGGAAGGCCATCCCCAGCCTCTCCCATACTGTTCGGTAGCAACCCTCTGCAGTCCGCATACCTTCCTCCAACATACCCTAAGGTACAAAGAAAAACAAAAACACATTAATGTCCATGTTGCCTAAACACTACCACAAAGTTGTACTGAATTATCTTGTTAAAAATGTGACAAAAACAATATTATTTGGTAATTAGCTCCAGTTATCTTCCTATAAACTCAACAGCCACCCCTGTCCTTTGTAAAGAAAAGCATGATCCTGCCACCACCGTGTTTCATTTTATTTTCACTTCCACAAAACTGGAAGAACAGGGTTTTACTTTGGCTAGGAGGTCTAACTGAAAAACAGTAGTTTTGGTAACAAAACTAAGATATTTATAAATGTTTAAAAATCTGAATCAAACTCATTAAAACAGCAAACTGAGCTTTGAACAGTCCGACTTCTTAAATGGGAGAACTTCAAAAATATTCATCAATGAGTTAATTTAGTCATCTTAATAAAGGTTTTACATTATCATTTTTTTTATATGTACAAGCTGACATGCAACTTATACAATGAAAACAATCCTGGGCCTAAAATAAACCCTTTAGAAACACCAGAGGTAAAAGCCTCAGCTGCCTTCATTGGTATGAAGAGAGAAATTCCTCTTTATCAACATAACTTAAGAAGAGCTTCTTAAATAAAGTTCTCACTAAGGTGAAAGTATTATTGTTTACAGTGTTAAAACTAGTATTCAAGTTTTATAATCTCCAAAAGTCATAAGTTACAAGATGGCCATAGCAATCTCTTACAGAGCGATGGTGAGGTCTAAAATTGAAATAAAAATTGTGCAAAAACCTTAATTCAGTGGACTTAATGTGACATGTGGCAAAGCAAAAAGTGTGTTAAACTGAAAAAGAAAAGTTAGATTTATTTTATTTACTGCTTATAATCACAGAAGAGACTCGTTTTTAACTTCACAGCTGGTCTTCAAAGAAGATCAGAAAAAGTATTGACCTCAAAGGCATCAGACTTTATCAAACACTTTACTCCATTAAAACTTCCACTCGCCTCATGAATCATAGTAGCTGCCAGCCCGTACACAACTCCGATCCAGACCTCATCTGACTGGACGCTGGAGTGGTCGGGCACTCCCTCAGGACGCATGCCGTTAACGGCGCCCATGTGGCCTTCAGAGAAGCTCATTACATTCAAGTCAAAGACAGATTTCAGTGCGCGCCGGATCTTTTCTTTGGGAAATGCCTGGAAGGAAAAAAAAAAAGGACCGGATTTTAAGGCAACATTCGCATAAAAATGAATTGGAAAGCATTGGCTTTGGGGCTACTTTTACAAAAGTCATGCAGCACTTTGCAAAAATCATTCATATCCCTGGAAACTGCTCTGAGTTAAAGGGAGATGATGGATGAAGCCAATTCCAGAGGCTGTAAAAGAGACTTGTGCTGAGTGTTTTGCCCTTAAAGACACAGCCAGAGATACAATGAAATTATCTAAATCACTGCATATTGATCCAGGTCAAACACAAAAATCGATTATTACAGATGCTTTCCACTCAGCCATACTGAGCTTGAGCTGCTTTGCAAATAAAAGTTGACACACATCTCCGTACTGGAAATCTGTACTGAAAAATTTCAGACCATCACATCTGGATGGAAGTATCCGCTATGTCAGAATTCATTTGGAAAAATGCGTTTCCATCTTCTCTCTTTCTTGGAAATGCCAATAAAACACCTTAAGCGAGTGTAAAGTTTTTATTTTTTTGCAAATTTGAGGAAGTAATTTTGCAGTTTTCATCAACCTCTTCTAATGAGATACTTTAAAAGGCAAATAAAAATACATTAATGGTAACACATTTAATAATAACATCGATGGGAGGATGTTTAACTCACCTGGTATGCTTCTTTTTCCAACCCAGATGCTCTGAGGAACCAGTGTCCGGCACACTGATCAGACATGATGCTGTTAGAAAGCGCCCTCCCGCTGCTGTCGTAATTGTAATACTTTCCTAAACATCGAAGGGAAAAAAAAGAATGATACAAGCTGCACTTAATGCTAAATGGTCATTTGAAGTATGCTCAACTTCATCACTCTGTAGATCTGAAGATGTTCTACCTCAATGATAAAATGTGAAACTCCCAGACAGATAAACGTTGGAGCGTACCGTTCCATAAGAGTTTATCAAAGGCTGCACTGCCTCTCTCCAGGAGGTCCTTGTAACGCCTGTAAGCCTCTTCACTGTCCACCAGTCTGGCCATTTTACACATCACACACAGGGACGCCAGCCACATCCCACCGCAGTACGCACTGCAGGACACAAAGAGACCAAACATCAGCAAACTTGTAGCTCAGCTGCACTTGTAAGGACTCCAGAACACCTATTAGGAAAACTGCTTCACTTCAGCCGACCCCGTCTGAGTAAACCGGGCCTCACCTCGGTCCAGTCACAGTCCAGCCATCGTACGTCTGATCTGCGTATCCAGAGTTTTCTATCAGGCCGTCTCCGTCCTGGTCAAACTTCAACTCAGACTCCATCACAGCCTAAACATTATGTATCATTAATCCTCAGAGAACCAAAGCAGGTAAATTAAGACAACCTCATAATATGGTTTGGTACAGAAGCTGGATGAGTTTAAAGCAGATTATTGTCGAGCGAAATAATCCATGTTGGTTCCTTGTGCAAAAGTTCACCTCTTCATGACGTGTCTTGCTGCAAGTGCAGGAACAATGCTAGCTCTGTTAACAGTTTGGTACATGAGCTTGTCACATTGATTTGTGAGTACTTTACTCAGTCATTCGCATAAGAGTCCTTTTAAGTTCCCATCCTTCTGTAAACATTTCACAGAACTATTTATTCTGTGCCGAAGGAGAATGGTTTGTTCAGGTTCAGTGACTCGGACTGAGGTTTTTGAAAGGTTACAGTTTCAAAACTGAAAAATGTTTCCTTTTATCTTCTGACAGTTTGAAGTCCTTTTGTGGAGAAGGCAGATAAACTGCAGAAGTGGCTTAAGGTTTCTCTGCCAATAAGCAGGCTGCTGAAAGCTACTAGATCATGTTATAGACTGTAGCTTCATTTCATATTTTATACATTTTTAGGGTCATTATACAGCAAGAATCTGATACTGGCCCATACCTGGATGGACATTTTGAAGTAAACATTGATTAAACAATGAATAAAGAGTTAAACCTGGCAGATGGGCCACATGTCCCGCAGGTACTGACTGTCCTGGGTCAGATGAAAGTCCCTGTAGACCTGCAGGACAAACTTCAGGTTCAGGTCCTTCCAGTCTGCGGTGTCGTGGATAAGGTAAGCATTTAACCTCTGCCAAGGCTCGTCATCTAGGTAGAGAAATGTGTTGTATAATCAAAAGTATATACAAAAGTCAAACACATAAGAGCCTTATAAAGACAGTTAGTTGTAAAGAACAAGGCATCAGTCAGGTTTATTATGTACTTTAGTCGTAAACGACTGGAGTAATCCACTGGGATGCTCTCACAGTGAGGTTATCTGGATCGTCTCTCCCCTACCTGGGTCTCCTATGTCATGAGGCACCACGTTTTTTGTCTTGACAGGAGAGTAACGGCCGTTCATCAGATGCAGCCTCTCTGTAGGATCCTGCTGAACCACGGTGCCAGCTGAGGGAAGATTGATGGGTTAAAAGATGGAGCACGTTTTCACGATTGGTGGAGACTGATGGCCTAAAACTGGTCTAGCAGGGATCGTTGATGAACAGTCGGGTTATGGAAAGGGCTCTAAGAGTTCACTCACCAATATCATATTGCACACTCAAGGCTAGCTTGGGCCATAGCATGATAAGTGCGAAGGAGGCGTAGAAGTGCACGTCGTACGTGTTATACATTCTGTATTCTTGACCTGGAAAACAGGGCAACATTTTATTCAATCTGAAAGTCATCGCTGCTGTCTGAACGTTTTATCGGATTTAAAATAAAACAACAAAACAGTGAATATTTGTGCATTTTAACCAACTAATGATTCTCCTTTTGCCTACCTTCTAGGTAAGCAAATCGGCCGTACTCCTTGACGAGAGCAGGCTGAGCTGGCAGACCGCCGTCCTCACTGCGCACACCGCCGCTGATGTCAGCGTCCTCCGAAAGCTCCGTCCACACGGTTCCTCCGTCCGCCACAAAGTACAGCTCGTTAAACAGAGCAGACTTGTACCAAGGCGGGAGAGAACTGGGACGCATGGGAGAAACGTAATTCAAAGACAAACCAAAAAACAGAAGGTTCTTATGCAAAATCACAAAACAGCTACAAGCAAAAAAAAAAGAAAGAAAATCCATCCATTTGTCATGTTTTTGTGGTGATGAACAGAAACACACTTGAAATATGTCACTTATACAAAATATAAAAGTTTTACCTTTTTTACTCAAGTGTTGAGCTAATTTAACTTTTCAGTATTTTCATTTTATTGAGATGCATCTTCTGAAACTAAAGTACCTGTCCTGTAAAATGGGTCTCTGCCACTCCTCAATGGATTTCTCCCACTGTTTGTAGTGTGTCAGTGCGTAATGGCTGAGGGACGGAGATGCATCTCCTTTGTCCCCAAAGTATCGAGCATATCTCCTATAAAAAATAAAAATAAAAAAAACACTTTGTTTAATAAAGACGTCCAAGATAAGTCAGGGTTAGAGATTAAGGACAAACATCTATTATTTATCCCAAAGAAATGCTTGTTGTTTTTGGGGTTTTTGCCTTTTTCCTCATGTATTGCACTTAAGAGAAAAGTGACTGGCTCTGGTGGGATGTGAGGCGAATAAGTAATGAGGAATACCACTCTGATCTAAACCATGGGTAAACAAATTAAGGCGGGACTAGTGGGCTCTTCTTGCTCTGTAACCTGAGAACGACGGCAAAGCAAACAAGGGAGGAGGTATGCTTTGCCTATGTGACGTTGGAGCTCAACAGCCAAACCAAGTAAACAGGTAAAATAAGTGCAGTGTTACATGTTTCGGAAAGTATCAAGTTCTTACAACTGTAGATCGCAAAAGAATGTAAAAACAAACTAATTTAAGACGACTAAATGTTAAATCCTGGTGATGGAAATTCATTTACATCCTTACAACCACGATTTCAGATCCCTGAACTGTGACTACTGCGACGCAAGAATCACCTGACGTGTTCCCTCTCCCCGGACCCGAAGGTGATTCTGGGCATGTCCCAGGCCAGGCAGAACTCCAGGCTGTTGAGTTTAAGAGCCGGCACCGAGCAGCTCACCGCCAGCGCAGCTGCTACCTTCTCTCCCTTCTGGGTTGGTGGGCTGGATCCTGCACAGATCAACAGGTGACGAAGGTGAATCAGACAGTAAACAGCATCTCTGTCTAATTCAGCTCCTTTCACTGAGATGAAGATGATCACCTGACCTTTGACACCTTCATTTATCCACATTTGGGTCAGAAGAAATTACAACCGTAGTATTGATTGAATGTATCTTTATTGGGTGTATTTTTTTTAAAAAAAGAAAAACTTTCAATTTTAGATATTTTTGCATCACATCAAAATAATAATAAAAAAGATCTGTTCTTTATGAGGTTCTAAAATGATTTAAGTTTAATTTCAAGCATACAAATTAACTTTTCTTTAATAGATGAATCACTCCTTGTGATTTAATGCCTTGTTGAAGTACTTCTGGCAACAATAACTGCTTTGATGTAGAGAGGAGTTTCTGGTTGACTCAAAGATTGCAGTGTGCCAAAATCATAACTCCTCCATGACTGTAAAAAATAAAAAGTCGTTCTAGCCGTCATGGCTGACAGGAGTGGCGGCCATCTTGGCTTTGGTCTCATCTGTCTAAAGAACAATCCAAACACCTCTCTCATCTCATCAAATAATGAAGAATTTATTTTAAACTTAAATAGAAAAGTAGACAAAAGAGTATAAAAGTGAGATTTGCTTATTATAGTCTGTAAAATATGAATTCTTGAAACTGAATGAATAATTTTGGCGTTGCATATCGGCTGACGTTCACCTAGGTACATTTAGGGGGTGATTAAATATTACATAGTTGTCCTGGGCAGCTTTTGTCCTCTAGTTAAACTACCTTTTTTTTAATTCTCTCATTTCATCTTTTTCTGCATTAAAAACACTGCAGTTTGGTTTGGTCCCATTTACACGTTTCAGAGGATCAGCTAGCAGATTAACCTGTGGGGGAGTCCAGTCGTCCGTCAGTGATCAAGTCGCTCCACAGACCGCTGCAGGTTCCCTTTGGACTGAAGGCCGTCTGATGGCTCACCTCCCTGTCAGCCTGTTAAGGTTAAAAACTTCAGTTTAATCTCTTAGAAATGGATATTTGGTAGAAAAACTATGAAGATGCTGACTAGCCACAGTGCAGTTACTTTACTTTTATCAAGATACACCTATGTAGACCTGTGACGATAATTTTTTCTGGACGATAAATTGTCCCAGAAATTATAGCGATACACGATATTATTGTTGTTTTAAGACCATTTTCAAGTGATATAATGGTAATGGCATAATAATGCAACAACACATCCTCAAAGATCACTGGAACTGGAAGACATTTTAAATATCCAAAATAATTAAACAGAATACCAGAAACAATTAAATAAAATATGAAGTTTCTGAAAACAAAATTATCCTTAAAAAAAAAAAAAGGGCTAGATGAGACCAAAGCACCAGAATGAAGACTTTTGTCATCCAGGTTTTGGTAGAAAACGAGACAGAAAAGAGGAAGACAATGAATCACGCAAATGCAAATTATTGAGCTCGTTTTAATTCAGCGTGCGATTAATCTATTTCTTGCTTCTGAGAACATAAATGAAGTGAACCTGCTCTCGCGCGGCGATGCACAGGGTGTAGGGGTTCGTCGCGGTGCAGTGGTGCAGCAGGACTCCGGACACCGCCTCCCCGTCCTTCTCCAGGTGGAACGGCTCATTCCAGTGGCCGCCGCTCTTGTCGTCCTTGTGTCCCGACCCGTTGACCATTGTAAACATGATGGAGACATCCAGAGCGTAGTCGTTCTTGTTCTCTATGTCCCACACAAATACTGCCGCTGGGAGACTCGAGTCCTGAGGAGAGGCAACGATACTCAACAGGTTGCTTCAGACATGGAAACCATACAGAAAAAAAAACAACTCTTGTGTACAGAAAAAGCTTTAGGAGAACTTTAAATCTGTTTTTGGTGTGGTGGAAAATGTAATTTCAGACTGACATCTTATAACTTTATTAATCTGATGGTTTGCCTTTTATGTTTGCCTTTTCTTTTTGTCTGTGCGCCACACCCAAGGTTAGCCATTGTTTTCCACAGCTGCAAAAAGGAGCCAGAATGTCACGTGTGTTTATGATCCTTTGTCCTCGGTATAAAAATGACGTGTTGACTGTCTAGCTTCTCACTTTGACCTGATCAAGAATCTGATTCTGTAAGCTCTCATTCCATGGACATGGTATTAATAAACCTGACAGAGTGATTTTCACCTCAGAGGCTAAAGGTCATGGTGGAGATTTATGACAAGTTTGGACTGAAGTCATGAGAGCGCCCAAATATTTTTATCGACACCGTAGGTGAGGATGTGTTAAAAGCCTTCAAATAAACTCAGCTGCTACTGAGGGATATAAATGATTTCAATGTTTAATCTGAGCTAATTTACTCAGAGTGAAGGGGAGAACATCCTGGGTTAAGTACAAACTGGTTTTATCCAAATAACCAGAGCCACAGTAATCCAGTCAGCCCAGGATTTCACTATTGTTTTTTTGATTTTTTTCTTTTTTTTTTTTTTAATCATTTATAAATATTTCCTCAGCATTTTGTGACATTTGCGCTTATGTATGATGGTAAATATATATATATATATATATATATATTTTTTTTTTATCATTTATAAATATTTCCTCAGCATTTTATGACATTTGCGCTTATGTATGATGGTAAATATATATATAATTTTTTTTTTTTTTTTTTTAATGGCTATTTCGATCACAAACTATAATTTGACATCAAGTTAAGGCTGACGGAGTAGTGCAGTAGAAGTAAAAATAATGCTAACTACCACTGCTAACAGGTGGGAATTAGCAGTCACTTAATATATTTGACAAAGTTTGTGGAAACTGTGAATTTTGCAATAAATTCACAGTTATGCGTTAGTGTGAATAAATACAGGGGTCTGTTCATTTGTTTTTTGCAAATTTTTTGCAGACTAATGTCCTGTTACGTTGTTTCTGATGGCTATTCTTCAAAATGGGAAAAACAAAAGAACTCCAAGTGAGGCAGATGGCCATTGAATTTCATAAGTATAGAAATGACCGTGTGAAATCTGCTGCTCGTCTGAACTTGCTTACATCCTCAGTCTTAAATGTTTAAATTATTTCTCACACCAACTCATTGGAGCCTTTATATGGTTCACGGCTTTATGATATCTTTAAAATATCAGGATAATCTGGTGAACTTCATGTTGCAACTGGGTCAAACAGGAAATCGATCCAAAATATCTGACCAAACAGGAATCTCTCAATATGTGTTCCAACCTTGCATAATACTAAATTGTTAATATGAAAAGACTAAGTGCTTTCCTAATGAGTCAAGAAGAACATACTGTATAAACAGCGGAGGCATCAACAACTTTACATTTCCAGAAAGACCTTGTTAGAATTTGTGTAACGGATGCATGTTTAAGGCCGAGCGTGCAGTAAGAGAAAAGTCACCGACCTGATAGTCATGAGGGATGACGGGGGATATCTGCCGACAGGTGAGGGTGACGTTCTGGCCCGGCAGCTGGTACACGGTCCAGGCGCGTGGGTACAAGGCGTGATAGAAGGCGTACTCTCCGCAGTAGCCCCAGTTCCAGCCTTGCAGCGTTGGCGGACGCTCCACGGACAGAACCTGCTGGTAAACCGTTTGTCCTCCACGGCGCAAACACACAGTGAACTGCAACAGGAGAAGGAGATGCTTAACTATGCAGAACGAGCAAGACGTAACCATCAGCTGTAAAAACACTTCTGCAGTCAAGTCTGCCTCCAGCAGATTCTTAGGAACAATAGTGATTGGGAAAGAAACAAGTTTTTCTCGCACTTTCCTGAAAACTGACTCTAGGAAATTCCAAGAAAAAGTTTTTCAGTTCATAAATAAAGATGGCATCTCAATAAATAACTGTGTGCTATAAATTTACAATAAATTAAACCTGACTCAGTGATTGCACTTCAACTAAACGGCAAGTTGTTGTTTTTTTTTTTGTTTTTTTACACAGTCTGAATGAACACACAGACGCACTGGACAGGCTTTTAGTTGTCAAGACAAAGTTCTGATCAAGATTTTCCTTCTGCAAGGATTTTAACAAACTATTTTGTGCAAATGTTCAAAATTTTTCTGCAGGACAATCCACCACTGCGGACATCGATGTACACCATTGGTTGGCTCGCCAGCAAAGGCCTTAAAGATCTGACCTGAACTCCTCTGGGAACAATATGAACATTTTTAATCGCTCTGCTGTTCACAGTGTAGCTCAAGTGTAATGATCTGATACGAGAAGAAATATCATCAGTCTATCTGCCAAGATAGCTGCCACTAGCTTCCTCTAGACTTCAAACAGTGTTGCATAAGACGATTGACAAGTGGCGTTCCTTCACTTTCCACAACCAACAACTGGAAGATTATCTAAACATGTGAATTTGTAAACATTTAGCATCCTTCATTTGGCAAGTGGACTTCATGAAAACAGACAGTGACTCTATGCTCAATACAGCTGGAAAGAAAAATCCACTCACAGTGTCTCACTGAAAGTGTGTCACGAAAGTAGACTTTGGCGGTTCTGAAACCCGTACGCAGCCCACCTCTGGTATGGGCTCCCTAAAGTGTGCACTGCGTCTCACCGGCTAGTTGCTGCTCTCTCCTGGCAAGACTGAAAGAAAGCTGTCATACTTTTCCCTTACGCATAACAAAGTCAAACAGGGCTATTGAGAAATATTTCCAGCCTTAAAAAACGCTAACAGTCGTGATGGGAAGCTACCCATCACTCTTGTTAGTCATTATCAAAGTACAGTTGGCGAGGTTGGGCAACATGTCTGTTGTTACGCCAGCGTGCGAGATTCTTGTACTGTTATTATTCCACAAAAACCATATCATCCTGTGTTTACTCTAGTCTACTACAAAAGCAAAAAGAGGCCCAGTTTCCTTGCATTCCCAGTCAAGATGCCCCATCATGATGACAAAGCAAAAGACTTTTGGGTTATGAGGTACCTGGTTGGCAATGACGGTTTTGTAGTGGTACATCCCCGGGTTTAGCTGCCATCTGCAGAACTCCCCCCTCCAGCCTCTTGTAATGGTGCCGCCTCCGATGCCGCCGAGAGGAGCACCTGAACATGCCGGCAGAAGGAGGAGAGGAATGTCAAAGGAAGGACAAATGGATGAGCTCACTCGCGGCTAATCCCAACTCTATGAAAACATGAAGGTTTACATAAACTTAGTCCAGCTCTGCAGGATAACTAAAAAGCAATTCCAGTTGAGCCTTAAACAAATCCAGCGAGGTTTGTCTAATGATTTATTGACCTCCTGGTAAAGATGTTTCCAAAAGGTTTTGGATAAATGGTAGTTGTGCCACTCAATGCTGCAGTTGTCCAACACTGAGCTCTGGATACATTTTTGCATTTCCTCACCCATCCTCACAAATTTAGGCCAGTAACCATGTCTTAAAGCAGGCACACTGACACTTATTAAATGGTGAAATGTATTGTCTTCCCGCCTTTGAAGAGTGCATAAAAGAAATTGACCTGTGTGTTGTGCTAAGAGAAAAACAGATTTACATTTGTCTCCTGTGATTTGTTGGAAATGACAACAATTGTGGCACCTTTTATTTTGATAAAACAAATAATCCTTAACCACTGAATAAACGTACTTAAATTAAGTGCAGATTTTGAGATCAAGTAACTTCATTAAAAGATGTGTTTATTCAATTATAATCCTTCAAGTCCAGCATGAACATGAACTGTTAATTTTTTTTTTTCTTTCACAGACAAACTCTGCCTTCATCAGAGAGACACTGTTGCCACTGTACTCATCTCTACTGAAGGCAGTAGAGATGCCTTTATTTCACATTAGAGCATAACGTGAAATTACTTTTCTTCTGTATAACCGAATCAAACCAACCATATATTTGCCGTAGAGGCAGAGCTCGAAACATATCGATGAACGGAGCCTTCTTCTCCACTTGAGTCTTCTTGTACCACCATTTAAGATACCTGGAAAACATGCAGAGGAAAGTTAAGTTGTGAAAACTTTGCACTTTCACTTTAAGTGAGGAAGATGTGAGCCAGTTTATTCTTCTTTGGCCAATTTATTAGAAGAATGAGGAGGCGCAATGCTGGGGAAAAACGGGCAATGAATTAAAAATTTTATACAAGTTAATGGCATGTCAACAAGATTACACCAGCGGGTTAGTCCATAAGATGATTAATGCCTTCCTACACAATTCTGCTTGATTCTCATCTCCCTTCACAGCTCTGTGAGGTTTCTCCCATATACTTGGATTCAGTAGAATTTTAACCAGTGAACAGAAGGTGAAGTTGTGAACCATTGTGATGATTTTTGTCGCCGCCTTAGGATTATAATTTGTCAGTAGTTTTAGCGATGGCAGTGGAGGAAGTGAACGAAGCCGTTCAGTCCGTGTTATCCACACTTCCAGATACTGAATTTACATCAGCATTTGCATCGTTTGATGCGTCTAGATGTGTGTTCCACATAAACATAAGTGTTTATGGCTCTGCTGTGTGTTATCTCAGCTATATGACCTCGCCTTCTTCCAGTGCTGCTCCACCGTAAGATAGCACATCTGCACGGCACAGACTGACCGGTTACCCTGCTCTGACTGTTCCAGACGAGTATTCATACCCCTTCACAGAAAGCCTCCTCTTTATACTGACAATTTTCCTTCCTTAACATGTCGAAATGTCACACAAAAAATGAACAACATGAGTAATTTAGACAAAAGCAGTATACTTTACTTTTAAAAGCCCTGAAGTGGTAATAAGCAAACACATTTTCTCCCAGCTTGTTCTTGTTTCTCTGCTCTCTGGAGCTACAGGAGTTTCCAGGCCTTTAGGACTCTCAGCCAAAGTGGGACACACAAACACACAGAGTGAGAGAAAATAGAGGGAATTGTGCAACTACACAAAGGATGGACTTGTAAAACGAGGCCAGCGCTCTCACAGTCTCAGGTCTACTTCATCTGAGCGCTGTTAGTAGTGTGCTCACAGACGTGTGTGTCTAGTCGTGACGCCGGGGCTGCCCAGTCAAATATTAATTAGGCAATGTAACAAAACCGCTCAAGCTGCTTGCAGTGCCCGGAGCGGAGTCAATAATCTGTTTATGCTCCGAGCTCCGAATGGAAACACGACGGATTTTCTGTTAATATGCAAAAACAAAAAAGCAGCAGCATAAAGCTGTGTCTGTTGTGTTTTCTAATACAGGAAATACGCTCAGCACTGCTGATGCACAGAACTAACAGCCCACGATGCACTTAACCTACATTTTTTCAGGCGACACAATTCCCTATTTGTGTGTTGTTGTGAAAGATCAACAAAGGATTAGCAGCTTTATTACAATTTTATAACATAATGTGAGGCTTTTTTTTTTTTTTGCAAACTGCAATAATCAGGGGGGTAAAAACAAAACGGTGAAAAGTGGATCATTTGAATTCCAGCAGCACACATTTCTATTTTGCCTTTATTCAAACCTCCTGAGTCAAAACTTGCTAGGACCTCTTTTTGCTGCAGGGTATGTGTCCAACAGCTTAGCAAATCTAAAGACTGATTGTTTTTGACCTCTTTTTTTTTTTTTTTTATTTTTTTATACAAAACATCTCAACATCTGTCCGACTGAAAGGAGGAAACTACCTGAACATAAACTGTCAAGTTTTACTACAGGCTTACGTCTGTCTTAAGGCCTCCAAGTTCCTCACAGAATAGCTGAAATTATACTGAACTTGCATAACACAAAAGTGGATTCTGATCACTGATTACATAACTTTTCAACACAAATTTTTGTGCAGAATTTTACTTTAGGGCATCACACACAAGGGGGCTGAACAGAAATGTCCGCCAAGGTAAAATTCTCAGTGAGTTCAACAGATATGAACACTTCATCCAGGCATGGTGAGTCTGCTGACAATGAAGGTCTGACATCAGCAACCAGCTGTGAACAATACCTCCACATAAAAGCTCAGGCTGCACTGAGGCCGAGATGAATGGAGTCGACCATAGCGTGTCATTTGAAGCCACTGCAGTCTCAGGCTATAGTCAGGACACTGCTGTTTGCAGCCTAGCTGAAATGCAAACAATGGTCGCCGACCCAGTCCAGATATGTGAACACAGTCCCAACCTTGAACCCAACCCAGGTGGAGCTTTGCTTTGGCTGCCAACTTGCTGAAAACTCCCAGTAACCATATCTTTAAAAACAACAACAACAACAACAGTATTGACTGCAAGTCTAGATATTCTCCAACTCTGAGCTGGAGGCGATGTTCTGAGCAAAGTTTATTCAGCGCACCAGTTATGATGCCATAAATCTTTGCAATAATTAACAAAAGCTGCCATGGCAACAGGGCCGACTGAGGCACACCCTGTACGATCAGTGCGGTTCCTACATGGTCCGAAGTGACCGTTTGAACTGTTTTTTAGGGAACTCGGAGGATCTCAGGGAAGCACAAATAAAGAAATGAAACAACTTCATTGTGTTCGCACCCAAAGTAAGAAACCCTCACACTTGCGTCATGTTAGGTTTGTAAGCACGATGTTGACATATTTTATAGAGAAAATGGCTGATGAAAACATGAAGCGCTGCTCGAGTCGCGTGTTCAACATAAATTTGATTGCAGCAAGTAAAGGCTGCATGGTGGGCTGCTCGAAAGCTGCTGAATATGCATACTTTGCACAATCAAGAGCATTCATACTGGGGTATTTTTATCTATGCAGCGCCCTGAAAATCTATTTATACCCACTGAACTTTTTTCACACATCGTCAGAACTTGAGATACCGTTTGTTCGATGTTCTATGAAATACACATTATTTACTAATTAGGCGACTACTGAAGGCAAATATTTGCACTGGCTTATATTTAAAGGATATCTGAGTAAAAGAGGCGGATGAGATTGTACACAAGTGCACTCCAAACTTTAAACATTTTAGAAAATTAAGCATCATTTAGTTTCCTTCCGCCTGGATTGCTTCGTGTTGATCTGTCTCCTAAAAGAAACAAAAGTGACCACTGCCGTTTTTTTGGAATCTGATATATTAGTATCATGCAAGGACTCCAAAGCCTTTCTCTCAACAAGACCAAAATGCAACATCCGGAATGTAACTTTAAAATTACACTATTAGGATCCTTTACTGCAGGAGAGGTTTTGCATTTATTTAGAGAACAACTAGACACTCTGAACTTTGGACTTTTAGCAGATCTAGATTCCGTAGTTGGAAATATTTCTTCCATTGTTCTTCAGAGAAAATGTCACTGGTGCTCCGCTACAAGGAAAACACCAAAATGGCAATGGTTTTATACCAAGACTGTGTAGGTATCTTATTAGAAGAGCTTCTGAACACTGGTTTAACACATTTTGTTTTTGCATTTTGAATGATCTCTGTGTCTTACCTGATTCCCAGGCCGATGTGATCCACAACATTGGACAGCGAGACATCTTTGGCCTGAAAGGGCTTCCTCTTCTCCTTGAATTCGTGCGCCAGACAGATCCGCCACCCCTCTTTGGGCACCCCTTGTCCCATTTCCTTAGAGGCGTATCTGCTCATGAGGTCCGCCGTGGACTTCTCGCCCCACTCCGAGGTCATATCTGCACAACTTTTAACCCGAAGGAGCTGAAAAACGTGGTGAGTGGGATTTATACACAGAGAGCTGCCACCACCTTTAGTAAACTGAACAAGCTCAGTGAGGGCTTTCACCACACAGAGGTATAAGGTGTTACAGGTGTCTCTCCACTGGAACTAATACACTGGATTGGATGAGTCAAAGGGGGTGACCTGATGGACTCTTGACACATGAGCAGGAAATGTTTGCTCTTCAGGGTGGAAGCTCTAGTGCCATATTTCTGCTACAGCAGTGGGAGCATCTCAATGGGGTTTCCAGTGTGGATTCGCCCCTTCTTCAGGAAGTGGTGAAGAACCTTCTGTTGATTAGCATGAGCTCCTGCAATACGGCAAAGAGAGCAAAACAACACGATTAACACAAAACATGAGTTAATGTATCCAGAAAGCCTTATGGAGAGATTATTTCTCAGCAGCAAACATCTCTAGAATTGCAACACGTCTACATTTGACAATACTCCCAGCATTTTTTTTTTTTTTACCTCCTTAGTGAACAAGTAATAGCTTAAAAACATCCATTTGCTTTGAGGATAAGGTACAACGAAACCCGACGCAGCCTGCTAACCACAACGAATTGTCTGTATTTGCTTAGAAAATACCTGAGTTGCAGCGTCAACGCGACATAGCGGAAAGCCGACCTCTCTAAAGAGGCTGTAGCTCTTTTCAGGGAGGAGCTCAAAATGTAAATCTTCTATCGGCTCTGCGGAAGCTAATTTTTACCCGCGTCTTGACTTGCAGTGACAGACTTCCCTTGAAACTGCTGGAAAACATTTCGTTTCACTGTGGTTAGCGTCATGTACGTTCAATTTGTACATTCAGTAAATGTACTGCAGCGACAACATTGTTGTTCATGTCGATGAGTTTTAAAGTAACCTTTGAAAAATGTCATAGAAGTAAACTGTGCCTGACAATTGTGACTCTGGAGATCTGAGCAAAAACAAAAAAAATGTAAGGATGAGCTTGTACCATTTTAACAAAAAAAAAGAGACAGAGGTTATGTAAATTCCAATTTGTCGTACTTCACAGCTGTATAAAGTATGTTTTAATTCATTTGTAAGTCAGTATGTACGAATATTATTCCGTTTAATTATAACGTTTTCATCAGTATTCTGCCATTGTCGCTCTGCAATTGCCCCGTAGTAATTTGGTGCATGTCTTATGGCAAGCTGTTTGTGTATTTAGTCGAAATCCGGGATTTTGACTAAAGCCCATGTGATTTCCGTTAGGACTGATGACAAGCCAGTGAGACGAGTTTTCCGCTAGACTCTAGACATGGATAGATTTAGGAGGCTAGCACACAACAGCTTTAAGGTTTTCATAACTCGTAAATTCAGTGGAAGGAATCAGCAGTTCCTCACAAGAGTGTTCATATCCTGTTTTTTCCTGTCGCAACCACAAACTTAATGATTCAGAGTGGAAGTGGAAGGAAATAAAAACCTGAAATGTGGTATGTTGTATTGTACTGTAGTATAATTAGCCCCCTGTGCCAATACTTTTTAGAACAAAGTAGCCCTATACTTTGCTGGACTTTACAGGTTGGAAAGTTTTAAGGAATATTTCCATCAACTTTACATATGTAGACACAGATGTTTCACCCTCATTCTTCTTTGCAAAAATAACTAAAAACTGTTTTTTTAGGACTTGCCATTTCAGGTGGTCCTAACCGGTTTGGCGCCCTGGGTGAACACCTCACCCTGCTTCTCACCTCAATGGTGCGCTGTCATGACATTCACAGCTTGGCCTGTGGAAGCAGAAAGGGAGCCGAGGCTCATGCCACCCCCTGAACAACATGACGCCCTGGGCGGCTGCATGTCATCAGAAACTGCTACTGCTTGCCATACTTTCTCAATTGAAATTAGGATTTGGAAACTGAGAAATAAGGAGACTTGGACTAGGCCATTCTAAGATAACTTGTGCTTTTGTCTAAGCATTCTTATGTTGTATTGGAGTCATTGCTCTGCTTAAAGGTGAACCTCATATCCAGTTGTATGTCTCTTATTGAGCCTCTAATAAGTTTTACCCTGCATTTAGCTCCATCCCATAGTTTCACTTTCGTGTCCCTACTACTGACAATTGGAATAGACGTAATAATTATTGTGATCAATTATATTGCTTTACGTCTATGACAAATGGTGCTTTCTAATATTCGTCGTCCTACAAACAACGTGGCCGACACAAATACTTTCCCTGTGAATTTATTTTTTCTTTTAACTTTTCAATATAAAATATATAAGACAGACAATATAATTTGTGTTTTAAAACAACCATTATTTTTAAGAAAATGACTTGTATTTTTGTATTTTCTAAATATTAGAGAGGTTTTATTTTTCCATGGTTTGTGATTTGGTGCGCAGAAGCGGAAGTGGACGGCATCCATTTTTTTTTTCAGTTTTGTTTACTGTAGCTTCGGCGATAGCAGGGAGGGAGAGCTATGCTTAGTTTACCCAAAGACACAGTAAAATTGTCTTAATGTGCCTAAAGAATAAATTTTAGGCACTCTCTTGACTTAAGAATCTTAAAAGTCTTACTGCAAGCTCGCTTGACGTCGAGGTATGTAAAACCAATTTGCTGTATAATCAACAAAATCCAGCAAAAAAAATTGAGACCGAAGAAGTTAACTTCTTCATACTGACTGGCTAGTGGAGAGAGTCACAGGCTCGGAAACAGTGTTGTAGTTTATGTTCAGCTGTCTCTAGTTTTTATTTTTAAGCGTTTGGAGATGTGTTGAGGTAGCGTTGGTTTTGTCTAACGGCACAGATGATCGAGGTGGTGGCCTCCATGGCCCGGGGCCCCGTGTTCCTGGCCGGGGAGCTCCTGGAGTGCCTCATAACCTTCACTAACCCGATGTCTCACCTCTCCACCTCTGCCAGCAGGTACAACTTTTCTCCTGTGGGATTTTTTATTTTTATTTTTCAAATGATATGGCTTTATCACATGGATGTGTTGTTTATCTTCTATGATGGTGTACAGAAAATTGTCAGCTAATTAAAGCCAACCGAATTTATTTAAAGAGCAATTTTCGTGCAGTTGAATGCATCTTAAAGTGCTTTGCAAAGTTTGGAAACAATTAAGAGTTCACGCACAAAACATTAACTAAGTATATATCATAAAAATTATTTGATGTGTCCTTTTTAATTGAAAGATGGCATAAAAAAGTAACACAGAGAAAAGTAATTGCAGTTTTATTTGTAGTGATATGAAAAACCAAAAACGGATCTGAAGAAGGTAAAAGTAAAGTTGACTATAAAACGTATATTATCCATAAGATAAATAAATAAATAGAAATAAGACCTGAAATTGCACTAATTCTAGGATTAAATCAAATATCATAAAAAAGAAAGGGTATGAAAAATATACACAACAATCTAAGCTTCAAAATCTAAGAACTAAACAAATAAATAAAAGTCCAAGTTTCTATTTTGCTTTTTACAATATCAACACTATATTTGTCCTCCTTTCTTGAGGACGCTTGTACCAAGGACGGAGACTGTAATAACAAAAAGATTCCTCATTGTGAATTTTATTTTTAACTTCAGGTGCAAACAATCCACTTTGAAAAAAGCAAATCACACAAATAGCGGAAGTAGCACAGCAATAACATATTTAGCTTGGCACACAGTGGGGACAATGTGGAGGGAGGAAATCTCCAAAGCTCACTGTTGCAGAGCTGCAGCAGATTTTTTTTTTTTCAGACTGCCAGTATGCTTCTCTAATAAAACATTCACTGATAATTGTCACATATTTATACGGAGGGGTGCTAATAATTGTGTTTGAAGAATGCTAATGTTGATCTCAGTCAGTCAGCCTGCCCCGGTGTAACCATTGTCTTCTGTGTGGCAGCGAGATGTTGGCATGGGCCAGCGCCCAGATCCACTGCCAGTTTCATGCCAGTGAGAACAGAGTGGCCCTGCCGGCGCAGGGCAACAAGCAGGACGTCCAGGCCGACAGCGACACCGTGCTGATTCCAAACAGAGGTGAGCCATCGAAGAGAGGGGCCAAAGGTCCAGATTCATGTGTCCGATATCAGATCTGCAACTTATCAGGACTGCCACCAATGATTATTTTTGTTACTGATTAAGCTATCGTTTTTTTTGTTTGTTTGTTTGTTTGTTTTTTTCCCTGATGAATGGTGGAGAAAAAAAGTGGCACATTTTGCAGATTTTCATTTAAGCATTTTTTATGCAATGTTAGAAATGCATTAAAATATTGCAGATAAACAAATGTAATTCCCTTGTTATATAAGACAAGACTATTGTTGCCTAAAATGCAATTAAAACTTTTCTTTAGTGTACGCTTGATCATTTGTTGTAAATAATGCAACTCAACGTCAATACAATGAAGGGCTGACCTGGTGGTTATTTTAGGGGATTTTCTTCTTTTTTTTCTTTTTTTTTTCAGAATTTGAACTGGGAGAAGCTAAAGCTATGTTATCTGGGTAGAACATAGTCACAAAGCTTTTTTTTCTTTTTAACTTAAATGTAAATATCTATCATTTCTGTACAGTTTTGACTTAATTAATGCTGAGCCTGTATACAGTGAACCGATTACTAAGTTGGTTGACAGTTATTTTGGTAATTGATTCATCAAGATTAGCCTGATTGATTGTTTCAGCCCTACGGCATATATGTATTTTTTTAAGAACGGATATCTCTGAAAGGGAATTTGGCAAAAACTTATTAGTAATAAATAAATACATTTAGATAGTAGGTCCAAAGATAAGGATTTAGAATGTGCCACTAAGTCTTCACCTTTATTTTTTGCAGGAGAACGAGGGCAGTGTGTGCTGGACACACCTCCCAAAATACTGTTCTGTGACCTGCGCCTTGACCCCGGAGAAAGCAAAACGTGTACGTATTTTCACATGATTTCTGTGTTTTATTTTTGTTTTTTGTTTTTTTTTTTAATCCTTGCATCTTTTACATATCCACATATACCTGAGATCACCTAAAGCAATTTTCTCTTGTATGACTGAATCAGTCTCTGATTTCTGTTGTTGCTTTGAGGTTTATTGGTTGTTTTTGTACAGCTTTATGAATTCCCTGCTAATTTCCTGCTAAATAAAATTTAAATATTGGGTCTAAAGGGGGTTTCACATTTGAGCATAGAATATTTTGGCTCTGACTCTTACTGGCTGGTGTAAAATTAAAAAATATATATCTGGTCAGTGAACGCATCATGCACAAGCACTACAAGCTAATTGTGCTACCAACAAATCTAAGATTCTTGCTAGTTTGAAATATCAACTCTAATTATTTTGTTTCTTTTCCAGAATATTAGTAAAACTCACTTGCGTCCCGTGACTACCTGTGTTATCGTTCTGAACTAGCGATTGAAATTGGCTAAAATTTGTATTTGCCGCTAAGACAGGCTGGATGTCCTGATTTCTGCGTCTGTCTCACATTCACAACAGTTTCATTTTGTTGGTTTTTATCTCTGCTGTCACAGACTCCTACAGCGAGCTGGTTCCCGTAGACGGACCTCCTAGTTTTCGCGGTCAGGCAGTGAAGTACGTCTACAAGCTGACCATCGGCTGTCAGCGGGTCAACTCTCCCATCAAGCTGCTCCGAGTTCCCTTCAGGGTCCTGGTTCTGCAGGGTGAGCGAGTTTTGGATCGCCTCCGGTCGCATTCGCTTTTATTTTGTCCGACCCTCTGTTCTTTAGATTTGTGAGGAAATTCAGTGAAGAGTAAAAACTGATGAAGTTTGACTTTTTCTTATCTGGCCCGCAGGAATGCCAGAGCCTCCGTTTCCTCAGGATGAAGAGGTTTCTCCCTCCAACCCGTTTCTGGAGGAAGAGGAAGCAAGCCGGCGAGACGCGACAGCTTTGGAGAGAGCGCTGGACATGCTGATGGTCACCACCTCCAGACGATGCCCTCGTAAGTTTTTATCAGCTTATCTTTCTTTCTTTGTGTGTTTCTTATTTTCTTTCTTCTCTGATTTCTTTTTGTATTTCTTTTTCTTTGTTCTTTTATTTCTCTACTTCCTTTTTTGTTTCGTTCTTTCTTTCTTTGCTTCCTCCTCTGTCTCTTTCTTTCTTTTTTCTTGTCTTCTTTTCTCTTTCTTTTTCTTTTTTTATAGTTTCTTTGTTCCTTTTTCTTTATTTATTGATTGATTGATTTGTCTTTATTTGTTTTTCTCTTTCATTATTTTAATTTTTAATTATTTTTTTATTTCTTTTATTTTTCTTTCTGTTTTTTGTACTTTATTTCTCTTTATTTTTATTATTTATGTTTCTTTTAATTTTTCTTTCTTTTTTGTACTTTATTTATTTTTCTCTATTTTAGTTTTTTTTTGTCTTTTGTGTTATTTCTTTCGCTATTGTCTTTTTTATTTAAAGATACTCAGAAACAGAACTGTTCAGTGTCACTCTACAGATACATACATATATGTATTTATATAAACATTAATAGTGGATCAGATCAAAACAAAGCTATCTTTTTTTTGTTGTACCTTTCCATCATTTGTACTTTACACACATTTCCTCTGCTCTTCGTCAAACCCAGACATGTTTAATATCACCAACACGCGAGGAAAAGTGGCAAAGTTCTGCATCTTTAAGACCGTTTACAGACTGGGGGAGGATATCGTCGGCACCTTCAACTTCTCCGAGGGAGACATTCCCTGCCTGCAGGTGAGTTTACTGTTGCAGCTGTGGCATTGCTTTCCAAGATTTATTCTCTAAAACGCTTCGAATATGTCCTAGTATTCGGTGAGCCTGCAAAGCGAGGAGGAGATCCAGCAGCAGTACCGGCGGCGACCCGAACAGGCCATCAGCGTGACCGGACACGGCCGGCACGTCGAGTCCTGCCTCCACACCGCCTCCAGCCACTTCTCTCTGCCCGTACCACTCAACGTGACGCCGGGCTTCAGCACAGACATCGGTCAGTCGGAAGGTCATGTTCCAACGTCAAGTTGTTCAAAATGCTTTTGAAAATCCCTCTGAAAGTTTCAGACCATCAGAAATGTTCAAGTTGATTTCAGTCGTAGTCATATTTTTAGAAGCCTCCACTTAAAAAGTAAGCTATGCTCATAATGAGGAATTAATTTAATATAAATTAAAGATTTAGAGGAAAGACTATACCTCAAGTGATACGTCAAAACAATATTTGGGTGCACAAGTTTTAATTTATTTAAGTTTTTTTCTAGAAACAGGTTCTAATTTACACATTCATGCTTGATGTCATACCTGCATTAATATTTAATTATCTGTTCTATATGAAGGTTGCAAACACTACAGATTTCTCGTAGTATTTGTTGCAACTGTAGCAGTTATTGCATTAGTAGGGATTTTTTTTTTTACCTCTTTTGTTATTAGCAATTCATTTATCAAACATCTTACTTTAAAAGTTTTTAGACGCCATCTTCATCGACTCTCCTTGCTCTCACTCTTCAGTGACTCTGAGGTGGCGCCTGCACTTTGAATTCGTCACGGCCCGTGAGCCGATGGAGCCGCCCACCGTTCTTCAGAACCAATCAGAGGTGACCGTCTGGGCCGGGGCGGAGCACGTCGACGTGGACACCTTCAGCTGGAACCTGCCCGTCAAAGTGCTGCCCACGAACCCGGCGCTGGCGTCCTATGTGTCCCAGTTCACTGGCACCAACAGCATCAACATCTGACCTCCAGAGCTGCACAGTTTTAAAGACTCTTGTGAGTGAGTGTGTGTGTGTGTGTGTGTGTGTTTTCCTTTTACAGGTAACTAATATTTGCACAGAGTTGCATATTTCCAGAAGAAATAAGCATCCAGAGTTGGTGGATTCAAATTGTATTGAAACAAACTGTATATGTCGCCTTTTTCGTTTTTTGGCTTTTTAAATTTTTTTGAAAAATGCAACCTTTTCCTTTTGGTGTTTATTTATTTCTGAGACTGCTTTATGAACGAACAGCTTTTATTTTTCTTATTTGAAGCCAGCATTACTCATACAAGACGCTTTTCTCTGTACAAGTTATTTTCTTTGAGCTCGTGTAAGAACCACAAGGATATATTAAAAGTTTAACCTCAAATTTCTTTTATTTATTTTACACAAGAGTGTCATCTCCAGGTTAAATGAGTTACAGCAGAAAACAGGTGAGCAGAAATACATATAACGTATGCATTCTTTCTTGTATTTACATTACTAGATTGTTTTGACGAAAGTTTTGTTTAGCAACGAATATTGAGTCAGTCAAATATGCAAAGGTTTTACTGAATTTTTAAAGCACGGCTGATTATAGAAATAAAATAGATTTAAAAAGATGCAGAATATTTACTTTAATACTTGCAAGAAGAATGCTAAGTGAGAAATGTCATACATAAACACAAAAGGCTGCTTTTCTGAAGTTTTGTTTTGCAAAGACAGATTCCTAATACGGATGTAGGCCAAGACTCACAGACGGTGTCTAATATAGGTTCATTAAAACAAAAAGGCATTTTCTGATATTTAGGTGCAGGTCAAGCTGTTGTTGGTCTCCGTACGGATCCCCCCGTCGAGCTGCAGCTGCAGCGATCCGTGGCTGGGGTCCCTGTCCGTTTCGCCCGGGGTGCACGGCAGGCGGGGGTCGGCTGTCTGGACCAGGAACACTTTGCAGGTCACCGGCTCCACCCTCACCTCGCACCAGGCAGGGAAGTCCACCGGCCGATGCACCCTGCACGGTCAACACAACAGTCTTTGTGTACTCCTCCTTACGCTGCATGTTTTTAACGTGTGTGCTGTTCAAACGTGCAGAAAATGTAGCTATAAACCATGACTGTGTGCTCTAGATGGATACGACTCTCAACCCAGGGCGCCATTACCAAGGAGTGGCAGCACAAGCACGCACAAAATAAGTATAATTTAAATGTTAGTTACTCCTGTGATGCTTGTTTTCATTTTCCACTAATGGGGAGTGTTGGACAACGTAAGAAAATACTATGTGGCTTTGCACTGCGGATGGGTAAGTGACATGGATGAAGCAGGTTGACTCACAGTTTATTATTTGTAGTTAAAAAAAAAAAAAAGATAAATCAATTAAAAAGGGAAAAATTAGACTGATCAAAGCTGCAATTAATTAATTAATAATTATTGAATTATTGTTCCCTTATCAAAGATTTTAAATTCATTAAAACTTTATTGTATTTGTAAAACACTAAACTAAAAATACTTTTTCAGCACTAGGGCCGCCTTAAGAGTAAAAAAAACAATGCTGTACACATATCTATATATTTATGTCGTGATTTTTGTAAATTTAAATTACATATTAGACAACAATCTAATAAAGAAAAATCATTGAAATAATGTGAAAGAACAATCTATTTTTTGATCATTTGGGTTACTTTAAAAAAAAACATAAAAAAAATATTTACACTCTTCAAACTAACTTTCATTCCTACTGATCATAATTTTTGCATGTTTCTTCTGCTCTTTGGATCATTTGTCTTATGGTGGCAACATGAGCAGGCCTCTTTGCCCTAATCTTCAGGTTCATAGCTTCTCTATCGGAGTTGAGTCTCTGTGCCGCTCCGTAGCATTAATGTTAAACAGAATCGTGTTGGCAAAAGGAAAATATTCCTGTAACGTATGCCTGCCAGGGGAACGAGTGCCTCCACTGTTACGTATGGACTGTGTGCATCTGGACACCGAGCGATTCTGGGTGTTTGTGTTTCTCACGTCTCACAGCAACCGACTCCAACAGGGTGCAAACAGGTGCACTGCATGCAGGCGTTATCCATCCAGGTCTCCCCCAGGGCGTACTGCCTCCCCTCGAACTCACACAGAGCTGGGACAACACATAGTTCAGATCATTAAAAAACAAAAAAAAAAAAGTATTAATTTAGATGAAATAGGATTTCTCACCTCTGGAGTTGAAGTGGCACTCAAGAGGCGCTGCAGAGCCACCGCCGGCCCAGAGCAGAAGAAACCCTGCTGCTGCCACCATCCAGTTAACCACGGCGAGCTCCATCTTCATCTTCTCTCCGATTCCTCGTCTCCTTATGGTCCCTCGCTTATACATCCGGAGGCTTTAAGCCTGTGCCGTGGAGGTGTGGTCGCCATGTGGGCTGTGGCCCTGGCTGTGGAAAGTGGCGCCATCCATCAGGAATGAGGAGGTCCTGTTGTTTGGAGTGGAGGGGGGAGCGGCTGAGGGGGTTGGACAGAAGTGAATCCTGTATCTTTTCATGGGTTTGGCACCACAGAGATGCTCTCGCTGTGCTTCAGCAGGCATGAAAGTCAGAAAGTGATAGAAACAATGACACATCCATGTGGTGACTAAGCAATGGAGGGGCAGAGGAGAGGTGAGCTGGAGGACAATGAGGGAGGGAGGGAGAGAGAGAGAGAGGGAGAGAGAGAGAGAGAGAGAGAGAGGCCCAAGGAGGAGGAGAAGCAGAGGGATTGGATGTATTTACTGTTATTCATCACCGGTAAACCCCTTTTCTAGTTTAGAACTGATCAGAAAGCCATCGCTATTTCAAACAGTCTAAATGTTAGGCTACAGCCTGGAAGGCCATAACGTCATGGCCACTCAAGGCTGAAAGGTCTTTAAACTGGGGCCTGGCTGTGATCTACTGGAGATCAGGCATTTTTTAAACATGTTCCTGAAACCTTAAAATCTTCTTACAATCTAGAATAACATTTGAAGATCTGGTGGAATTTAAAATGGCTCAAATAAACTGTTACCCGAGCTCCTACAGAGCATGTTTTTTGAAAGAGAAGAGAAGATATAACTTTCTCAAACTTAAGGATTCATAATATACGCACAATAGGAAAGAGCTTTTCTATTTCAATTCATGATGTGAAATGACTGAACAAGTTAAATGAGGAGTTAACAAGTCAAAATTGAATACAATTTAAAAGGAAATATAAGGAGGTCGTTTTCACAAGATATTGAAATGTGGGTGAGAGTTAACACTAATGTGTTTATGTAAATTAAGGCTAAGGCAGATGAGTGTGTGGATATGGATGTATATATTTAGACATATGTAAACCCAGATAAAATGGAAAACTAATTAACTTAAGTCCTTTTTTAAATTTTTTTAAATTTTTTTTGTTTTATTAATGAGACTCCATCTGAAAGTGTTGTATGAGTTTATGAGGTGGGAGTTCATAAGTTTCTAACTTCTTTCCTACTCCTTTTCAAGCACTGTGGTACAAAAATATGTGTCTTTTGAATTCCTTATTTTATATTGCTATCATGTTCAAAGTAAATAAACCATTTTGAGCCATTTAGCTGCAGGGTTTCCCAATAGAACATTGTCTGAACCGGAACACCAAGACCACGAGCGTGTCTTCCTCCTGCTGGGTCGTTTTGACCCTTTCTCTTATTATCAACAAGGATCTCCACACTTACAGCTTCAAATAGAAGTTTACAAACATTCCTCACAACCATGAATTTAATCTTCTACTGTGTTTTTAATTATTTGACCAATTGAAACTGAAACAAAGAAAGTTATTTCTTTATTTCTTTATGAGGTACATCCATGCATTGATTTCTACACACTTGAATGGATTACACTGGCAACATTGTTATGAAGAGCTGTGTATCATCTGCGTTGCTATAGTAACCTATCTTGTTATTTAACAGCAACTATGTAAAACAACGTGCAACGTCAAAATAGTTGAAACTCACGAGTTGGACTTTTCTTTTCAGAAGTTTCTCTCGGTTTTCGGCACCAATTGATGCACTGTAAAAAAAAATTAAAATCAAAACTTGTACATTTATTGTTTACCACAAATATACACATGTACATTTCTAGCAGGGATTCAGCTATTAATCTTTTGTCTCAGCATCAAAACAAACGGACTGCAAAAAGTTTAACAGATCTACGTAAACTTGGTACCGACTTTGTTTTTCACAGAAAACAAGTCGAGATGTCAACAGTCAGCATGTTGTCATCTGACCTGATTTTACGGTGATCTGACAAATGATTAGTTCATCCTCTCAAACTTGTTTACCATCTGTGGACAGAGTTCAAGATCAGAGGAAAAATCCACCCAGATCTTTCACAAGCGGGGCCCCGGGGCCTCGTAACCTTCCCGTCTTCTCTGACACCTCCAACATTGATGGACGGTGTTGATGGGTTCTCCACGGGAGTTTTTCTCATTCGCTTGATCTCTGTGACTCAAAGTTCCCTCTTCCATTGTGGACAAGTCTTATGGACCAGCCACAGCTCTTTTTTTTTATTATTATTTCATCCGATAAAGCTGAAGAAGAATTTACACACCTCGTGTTCAAACTTGGGTGGTACTGGGCTCTTTGGAGATTGCGGGTCACTTCAAACGTGTCGACTCAGAGCTCACGCCCTGAATCGTCCAGTGCGAGAAGGGCGGATGTGTCAAAACTGAAGATGAGGATTTTCCTGTCCTGTCTTCACACTTCATGGACATGCACTTCATTGGAGACAATCGCATTTTAACTGGGGGGAAACTCTGAAAGTGCCCTTGGCTTTCATCGTGACACAACCTTTGGAACGAAAACTGGCTGCACTGGTTGAACTTCATCCTGAAAAACTTAGACAAGAACATTTTGATCATCGCCTTTAATTAATGTTTACATATCTTTTGTTCAGCAGAAAATTTTATGCAATAAATATATTGCATCAGATGATTGTATTTATTTTCTTTTCTTGATTATTTGTATTGTTTTGCCCAATACGAGATAAATCAATACACTGAAGTCCAGGAAGTATCGATAAATAATATTTTATTTCAGGCTCATCACTACATAGACAGACTGTTTCAGCTTTAGTTTCTGCAAGTTAAATGCTTCTCTGGGTTCAGATCTGAACTCTAAAACGGTCTTTGCAGATATCGTTTTGGGTCATTGGCCACCTGACAAAGACGGCCACGTTTGCAGAATATGAGATAATCTGAGAAGAAACTGATAATGCAGCATGCGTATGCCGTCCACTTTACTTCCATCTCATTTTCTGTGTTTTGATGATAAAATTTACCTCGGATCATAAACATTTCTAACGTTTGCTGCAGTCTTTTCACTCTGTGCTTTTCATTTGGGTTGATGTGACAATTTTGAATCATTATTCTTGACAGGCAGCAATCTTTTAGCTCCTTTTGGCACATTTTTTAAAAATAAAAATGCTTCTCTTTATGATATCTTTTGATAAAATATGCTTGCTTAACGTTCACAATCATGTTGACAAGTGTTTGTTGACATAAGTGCTAAGGCGGAGTACGGGTCAGTCCAAGAAACCAAAAATGCTGCTGGACAATATTAAGCTTAGAAATTCATTGAGCACCATCTGGCAAATGCATTATAATGATTACAATTCATATCTTGAATCGTTAGTAGCGAGGAAATTTAATGACTGTACTTCCTGCCCTGGGAGCATTACATTGGGGTATCATGCTCCATGCCTAAGATTCTGGATTTTGTACACTTTTTGACACAGGGGTGTGAATTCAGTTATTTGTATGGGTGGGTGGGTGCATTTTGCAGTATAATGTAAATGCTACATTGCCCCTGCAGGCTTGTATATCTTTGGAAAATGACGTTAGGGGAGGAATGATTCAGATGATCCCATTGCATTATGATATTTCCTCTCCACAGTATTATGGTAGTAAGTGGGGTGGTGACCCTGATATGTTACTCAAACAGAGGGAATCCCTTTGGATCTCTACCCTTCAAACTGAAGCATGAGTTATTTCTGAATGTGATTATTTTTGTTAAATAAATCATTTAACACCTAAATAGAGATTGTACATGTTTTCGGATGAAACAAGTTTTGAGCATGTTTATTTCAAAATTCTCTGGGTATGTGAAATAGTATATTTCCATAGTGGATTCTGTAGCATCAGATATTCTGGAACAGGATAAGTAAAAAGGGATTTCACAGTTGCTTTGAAAATTATAGTTCATGGACTATGTGTTTATCTTTATATATATATATATATATATATATATATATATATATATATATATATATATATATATATGAGTGTGAAGTACTTATCTATACATATGTGTATGTAAGTACTCCACTTGGCATTCGAATAGAATAGTTTTTATGTGTCTGTGTTTTGTTGATCCTTGATATATTTTTTACACTGTACCTTTAACCACGAATGCTCGAAGCCCTCCTTCAGACTCAAATAATCAATCCAAGACTCAACGATCGCTTTCATGGACTTCCTCGTCTTGCCTTATCGACATTCTACTACTCTGACCTGACTGGAAATTTCGGTTTCTGCTGTGTAGCTACTAAAAATCTAAAATCATGCCCGGTCAGACTGTAGCTATACTAGCGTCTTAGCAGTGACTAAAAACATTAATTTATAATTTTTAAACAGTTTACAGTCTGATAAAGCCTTCAGTTCCGTTGTCCGGCTTTTATCCGGTCTCTGTGGAGTGTTTCTGCGCCAAGGCCTTGTTGTCGCAATAGTCTTCCACAAAAAAACGTCCGGGGATTTTAATGTTGAAGTCGTCCGGTGTGGGAGTAAAATTTAGTGTTTTTCCCCTCGGAAGATGGACACAGACAAGTTTAACTATGTCTACAGCTGTGACCTGGACATTAATGTTCAACTGAAGATGTGAGTCGGGCTGCTGAAGCCGTGTGTTTTGATGAATCTATGGAACTACTTTGTTCTGCTCGGTGTGTTTGCGGTATGGGTCGGTGCAGCGTTTGACATCTTGCACTCAAGTGGGATTTTACCTTTAAAGTTCCTTCGGGTGCTAATTTATTATTTAATAAGTGACAAGAAGAGATAAACTGTTTTAATTTGTGTTTTTGGTCGTATGTCCTGTCAGGTCGTCGGTTTCTATTCGTAGTGAACTGCAGTGTTTTGATTCGCTACATTTTTCTTTGTTGAGTCGGTCCCGTTTGTGACGAGAATTAATAAAGTCTTACATAAAGTAACTAGTAAGCGAAAAGCATTTAAATTAATCCACTTGTACTTCCGTGACTCAGGAAGCATGTGCCTTCTTGTTCTCCTCCGTGGTAATTTTGAATCTTCATTGGTACATTATGCTGATTTAGCAGTAATACGCCAGTCTTTTGTCCATTTTTTCCTTTTCAGCTGGTCAAATGGTGAACAGTTAGGTTTTTCTCTGCACATACCATGCATAGAAACGGAGAACTCCCACTTTCTTTCAGTCTATAAACGCACCAACAAACGGAATGTTCTTTGATGCCCCATTCCTTGAGTTTTTTTTTTTGTTGTTGTTTTTTAAGTTCAGGGAAATATGCTCCGCATTTACGGGAATAATCTTAAATAATTTTTTTGTTTTTGAAATAAAAGTAAATGCATGCACTCATTTCCTGTTGCAAAAAATGCAACAGAAAAAACAAGCTGAAACTCTTGTTGCAAGTATTTAGATCTATGAATAGGTCCATTCTAACATATGAATATGCAACAGAGCTGAATCAGACAGCTGATTTATCGCCTCAGAGGTCAATATCTAGAGGTGTGCAATACTGCATATTCTGCGATCGATTACATAATGATTCAATACAGGTCCAGCACTGCCAATAACGACACCAATACTCACAACTTAAGTATAGTATTATCAAATTTCTTTTCTGACCTTTAAGTGTTTTTTCTTTTGAATGATTTTGGTAAAACTTAAGACAGAATTTAGATAAAGTGCACCGGTGTCCACAAAATGCGCTAATAGCATATTTACATCATGAGCAGAAACAATATAAAAATGAATCAAATTTGGGTGCATTGTTTTCTCAATAAACAAAATGCAACAAAAAAAAATGTTTGAGAGCAAATCTTTATTATCAAGAGGGCATCTTTGAACGTAAAGTATTGATCTTATCACTTTAGTATCCACCTCATACTGACACCGGCTTGGTCTCAGAATCCACCATCTCTGTCAGATTCTACAGAGTCCTGCTAACTCGCCTAATATTTGAAATGAAATCATTCAGAAAACGTATTCGCGCCAGTAGTCAACTCTATGCATTTTTGTTTTAGTCTGTGCTTCATCAGAAAACTAACAAAAGACGAGGAAAATAATCAGATGCTTTTTAGCCGGGAAGAGAAATAAATAATCCTGTTACTGGATTAACAATCAGTTTGCCTTTCTTCTTCTACTCTTCTCCAACAGCGGCAGTTTGGAAGGAAAGCGAGAGCAGAAGAGCTACAAAGCGCTGCTGGAGGACCCGATGCTGCGGTTTTCCGGTCTGTACCAGGAGAACTGCTCGGACCTCTACGTCACCTGCCAGGTGTTTGCGGAGGGGAAACCTCTCGCTCTGCCCGTCCGCACCTCATACAAAGCCTTCAGCACACGGTGGAAGTAAGAACACAATCGGGAGGGGTTCTTCTAAATCTTGATCGTACTTTTCCTGTGATAACTACATTTTATCGACTTGTTTTTCTTTCCCATTCCCAGCTGGAACGAGTGGCTGCGGCTGCCGGTGAAGTACCCGGACCTTCCGCAGAGCGCCCAGGTCGCCCTCACCGTGTGGGACATCTACGGGCCCGGCAGAGCCGTTCCTGTTGGGGGAACCACAGTCACCTTGTTTGGCAAATATGGGTGAGTCTTCTGAGCCACAGCTATGCTTTGGTTGGCTTCTGCTGAGATAAATTAATAAAAAATTAAACTAAAAGAGCTATCGTTTACTTTTTGTTTTATGTGTGCATCAAAATTTGCACTTATAATTCTCACCTCGTAACTTCTGCCGCTGCTGTTTGCTCCAGCATGTTCCGGCAGGGGATGCATGACCTTAAAGTTTGGCCAGGCGTGGAGGGGGACGGAGGGGAGCCCACCACCACACCAGGACGCACCAGCAGCAGCCTGTCAGAGGACCAGATGGGCAGACTAGCCAAGGTATGGACAGTAAACGAGGAGTAGAGATGTTGGTGTGTATCATTTACAACGTGGCATGGCAGAGGATGGAAGGCAAACGGGAAAGCGTGGGATGGGAAGTTGTTTCTAAAGCGTCATTTGTTCCAGGGTCCCGATCTGGAGGTACTCAGTGATGTGAGTACGAATGGAGGAGCTGCCAATGCATTGCGTGTGTGTGTGTAAAGTGTGTGTATGAAAGCCTCGGTCAAAATATGTTTGGTTACAAATCTCACCACATCTAGACTGTAGAAAGGACCGTAAATGCAGCTGGTCTCTGTTTTGAAGTGTTCTGTGTGAGAAACTAAACACATTTTGACCCAGGTTTTCGGTGTGAACACATTTGCGTCCAGGTGTATGGCTGCATTCCTGAAAGCATCACACACACACACACACACACACACACACACACACACACACACACACACACACACTTACACACACACACACACACGTTTGTTTTTAAATTTACTACTGTAACTACACACTCGTGTTGCGGGTGTGTGTGCATGCATTTCATTTTTATGACATCACTAAGGTTTATGTAATTACCTAGAATGGATTTAACCTTGAATTTCTAGTTTCCAAAAACTCACAAATTCCTGTTTATGGTAGGAATATACTCAGGTAGGAGCTGGACTCCTACTCGATCAACAAGTTGATTGACCGTAATTAGTGAACGACTGTTTGGAAATTCCAATATACAATCTTTTTTCAGACCAGCGAACGCGCCACGTTGGTTCTCGTTCAGGTTAGCAACAAAAACGCTCTTTGCTGTAGACGCTGTCATTGAATGACATTAAATATTTCAGTAGGTTTGGGCAACTGCATTGTTTATTGTCACCATGAAAGACTGATCAAAAGCTGCTTGTGTTACTGGTTTTAACAATGCCGCTTGTACGAAAGCATCAAAAGTGATAAATTTATCAGCAATACAATTACACTACTTAGTGCAACCGATGCACTCAAGTCGCCTAGTTGACAAATGTCTTATTTTTAAAGCCACATTTGTGTTTGTGGGGTTCTGACTGTGTGCAGATCAGCAGCAGTAGGTCGTCAGAAATCGCCCACTGCATTCTGATTTGGGTGTTTTTTGTTTTAATGTTTCGAGAGCAGCAAACTTATCTAAAGTATTGTTTTTGGCAGCGACCTTTCTTTAAGGTGCAAGCTTTAATTCCAGCTGCTGAACATGTCTGTGCAGAAATGTTGGGCTGGCGGCTGGCCTCGAGTTTGTGCATGATTGTTGGAGCTCACCAGCTGCTATCCTGCAAGCGGTTCCACTACAACAAGCAAACAATCAATGTCTGTTATTTTATCGTTTTAACGTCTTTTTCCCTCTTTCTCTGTGTCTTTGCTTCGCATCTCCATCCAGCTGACCAAGGCTCACCGGCAGGGCCACATGGTGAAGGTGGACTGGCTGGACCGGCTGACCTTCAGAGAGATTGAGATGATCAACGAGGTGAGACGGTCTGGCCCAATTCTGTCTCCAAACTGAGGTTTTGTTTTTTGTTTTTTTTTTGTTTTTTTTTCTTCAGATATTCATGTAAGTAAAATTTGTACATTTTTATCCTTTTTGAGCAACACTATAGAGGAAAAAAAAGCTTTAAACCACTAATAGTTTTCTCAACTTTTCTTCTGTATTTGTTGAGGAAAATGCATAAAAAAATTTTCTGTGAACTTTTGCTGCTTTTCCACTCAGTTTTTGGCCAGTCGTTTTACCGCTACGTAAAAATTAGGAAAGAAGCTGTAATTAATGTAGACAAAAGGCATAGAGGTGAATTATCCTTCCTTTGATTGTCTTGTGTAGCAAGTGTAGTTTTATCGGTCAAATTGAGCTCCTGCAGTCTGGAAAAGTATGTTTAGATTATTGAATTAGATTCATTTTCCAGGTTTGAATAAGTATGGCAAATAAAAATACCACTTGATAATTATGTGTTATTGGTAGATTAATACCTGACCACCAACTATAAAGTCTTTAAAAAATGCAAACATTTTAAAAAGACTTAAATAAATAAGCAATGCTCAGCCTGTTGGGGGCACAAGTAAAGCCTGGTGGCCCGCCAGGCTCATAAAACACTGGGGGAAACCCTGTTGTTCTGGTTTTTTTTGTTTGTTTGTTTGTTTGTTAGTTTTTTGCGTCAGACTGATTTATAGTTATATGGCTTAACACACGCACAGAAAACCCCCCCCAAAAAAAACATCCCTCCGAAAATGGTTAAGTAACTGATCGGTAAATGAAAGAAAACTGTAAAGGACTACGTTTAGAAAAGAAAGCCTGGAGAAAACATTGACTGTGATTAGTTTGAAAGATTAAAGGAAGTTCTCAGACCTTGGGATCTAAACATGAAGAAAAGAGGGATGGCTCCTGACTTGCACATTTAGAGAAACAAATGTGTGTTTCTGCAGAGCGAGAAGCGCAGCTCGAACTTCATGTACCTCATGGTGGAGTTTCCTCGCGTCAAGACAAACGACAAGGAGTACAGCATCGTGTACTACGAGAAGGTAAGTCTCACCTTCCTAACATCCGTCCAGATGTAAAAACCGGACGTCACGCAGCTTTGCGCTGTGTTTTTGTTGATGGTCGTTTCGTCTCTGCACAGGATGGAGACGAAGCGTCGCCCGCTCTGACCAGCAGCGACATCGTCAAAGTCCCCGACCCGCACTTAGGGATGGTAAGATCAGTTCTATGGAATCCCTGCAGTTATCAATAAACTCTAAAAGAAGATTTAATTCACCAAGGTTTTAACAATAATTCTTGGTTTTGCCGGGTCCTCCTCCTCCTCTCAGGAGAACCTGGTGGAGAGCAAGCACCACAAACTGGCTCGCAGCCTCCGCAGCGGCCCCTCGGACCACGACCTGAAGCCCAACGCCGCCACCCGGGATCAGCTCAATGTGAGAAACCGGCGGTTTTAATTTTTTTTACGATTTTAGAAGGATGAAGCCCAACAGTAAGCGAATGTTTGCACGTCGCCAACAGATCATCGTGAGCTACCCTCCAACCAAGCAGCTGAGCTCTGAAGAGCAGGACCTGGTGTGGAAGTTCAGATACTACCTCACCACGCAGGAGAAGGTGGGGACGTTTCTGCTTCCTTTCAGTCGTTGTCTCCTTAGAAACCTGTCACAATGAGCAACAAATCAATTAATTGCTTGATAAGTGAAAATGAGGTAGATAAACAGTCGTTAAAGAGATGCTCGCCTTTAATATTGTTGAAAATTTGGCATTTTGAGAAACGCTGCAAACATTTGACACCCAGTACGAAGTAGTTGGTTTGCACTATCTGCCACTTTTGCCTGTTTTCCCTGTCAAAGCTGAATTATTCATATGTTTTTGATTATAGAGACTTTATAATCCATTTTAATTCTTGTTGTTTGGTTTATTTATTATTTATATTAAAATGTTTCCCAGTTCCAGTGTTAAATGTTCTTTAGAAGTTAAACTTGTTGGGATTTTTTAATCTTTGAAAAGTGTACCTACATTACTGTGCCATTATTATTATTATTATAGTTGAAAATGGCCTCAAAATGACAATATAATTGTTTTTAGCAATCATTCAATTCGATTTATCTTTCAGCAGAATTTGTTACCGTGACAGGCCTTTCTTCTTATGGCAGCTGTTGTCCATAATTTACCTCCTGCTCTCTTCCTCTTCCTCTTCCTCTTCCTCTTCCTCTTCCTCTTCCTCTGGCTTCAGGCTCTGGCAAAGTTCCTGAAATGTGTGAACTGGGATCTGCCCCAGGAGGCCAAGCAGGCCCTGGAGCTGCTGGGCAAGTGGAGGCCCATGGACGTGGAGGACTCCCTGGAGCTGCTGTCCTCCCATTTCACCAACCCCACAGTGAGGCGCTACGCCGTGGCGCGCCTCCAACAGGCTGATGACGAGGTACCGCCAGACAGAACCCTGAAAATAACTTACTGCAGGAGCATAATCTCCCACTGAAACATTATGGTGCTCCAGTTTTAAGTATGTTGTCTCAGTTATTGTCACCTTCTAACCATCCCTAAAGTACAGAATATCAACTTACTGCCTTTTTAAAGTCAGTCAGAGCGTCTGGGGATTTGGAATTAGTAAAGCGTGACTTCCTGTTTCCCTCTGTAAATAAACCGCATGACACAGATCCCCATTTTTCTTAGTCACTCTTCGAAACCGAGAGAGAGCTTCCTGTTTAAGCAGGCCAGATGTGTGTTAAAAGTGGCCAGAAGAAAACCGCTTTTCACCTGAACTTGTTCGTATCCAAAAAGCTCTAAGCAGCTGAAGCTGTGCCAAACAAGGCCTCACTTTGACCTTATTTGCTTTATTTTGCCTCCGTTCACAGTGAGGAGGGGGATTTGGATTTGGGAGGTAAAAAAAAGAAAAAAAAAACTCTCCAAAGCTCACAAAGTGTCATCTTCATTTCATCTAATACTCATATAAACCATCTATATCTCAGGTCTTTGTTTAGGAGTAATACCAGGCAAAAGTCCTTTACTTCCTCGATCAGAACTAGTCAGTTGAATGCAGAACAAAAACATTCTGATTATAATATAGTACAATCAAGCTACCTTGACCAAGTGCTAAATGCTAATTTGGAAAAAGCTGTCTAAGAAAGTCCAGCAGATTGCACTCGGTAAGTGACTTTGCATCAATTCCTCCTCCTGTCTGCGGACCTGGTCATAGAGGAGAGGAACCACTCGATGCTAAAACGATAACGACCCGAAACATTCAGGCAGATCAGCCCAGAAACGGTTCCTGAGATACACAGCCAGGCATGCCTGCCCTTTGACCTTAACTCTATCGAAAACTTGAGCAGAAGAAGAAAGAAATCTTTTTAAACATCTTTCTGAGGAAGGTTAGGGAGTCAGGGCATCCTTAATGAGTCTTATAGGCCTTAAATTTATCTAAAATGAAGGCCTTAGAATGTTTTAAATTCAATAAGAAAATGTAAGTTGGCCTCAAATATGTTAATTGCAGGACTATTTGATGTAGTTTTTTTTTCTTGAGGGACATTTCTGTTGGGGGTTGGATCTTGTTCTGTGACTTGAGATTGTTGAAGCTACGCTGGTAGCTGCTAACATACCCTCACTATCTAGCTAGCTCACATTTTTACCTCTATACTGGTTTTGATTATAATGCAGTAAGTTTCTCCCCTATATTTGTAGTATTTTCAGTCTTAAATTTCTGTCAAAGTGGTATTAAAAATGTCTGTAAAAAGTCTTAAATGTCACTCGCTACACCCTGCAGTTGCTCTGACGGTGCTGACCCCTGCCTGTTCCTCTCTCGTCCCTCCAGGACCTGCTGATGTACCTCCTCCAGCTGGTGCAGGCGCTCAAATACGAGAACTTCAACGACATCCAGGGAGGCCTGGAGCCAGGCAGCAAGAGAGACAGCCAGGGACTTTCAGATGACTCCACGCTGGACAGGTCAGAGCAACATCAGCAGAGCCGCCCTCTGGCTGCACATCACAGCGACAGGCATGAGCTGAAGGGAGCTGTTCTCTGGAAATCGGGGGGGGTAGAAATGTCAGCAGGTGATCTAAATTTACCCCCAGATGCGCCAATTTGCAACGTTTGATTATTTCTGTTTCAGGAGGCGTTGAAAACGCTTTGGTTGTTAGGATTTCACTGGCAGCCGCGCGGCTGAGGCTGCAGGCTCAAGCTGTTGGCTCGGCGCAGCGGCCGCACTGACTTCAGTGTCGTGCGATAAAATAGTAGTTGATATAATTTCTGCTTTAGCTGCTATATTTACACTGCATAAACACAATATCTGACCAAGTTTTTTTGGTCCAGTTTCTAGTGAAAATATCTGAGTTTAGTCTTAGTTCGAGTGTACTAACTTATAAATTATCAGCAAGACATAGGAGCTTGTTTTAAGTCAACGGTTTATTAATATTACTAATGAAAAGTACTAGTTAAAAGTGAAATAATCTGCCAATCCAACAAGACATCTTTCCCATATTATATGTTAAAATAATATCTTCCTCTGGCAGACTATTTCACTTATAGTCATTTTTCACGAATGTTAACGAATTTGTGATTTAAAACAAGCTCATATATTGTGCTAAAAAGTTACTTGTAAGTTAGTTTTGTCTCATTTAAGGTGAATTAAGATATTTGCACAAAAAACTGGAGCAAAACTACTTGGGCGTGTTACGATAAGTTTTACTGGACTATAAATTGTCCCAGAAATCTTTTCAATAAGTGATGATATTTGGTGTTTTGAAACCATTTTCAAGTAATATATTGATAATGGCCTAACAACTCAAGTTTGTCTCTCAGAAACCAGCAATCTTTAATTTTGTGAAGGACACTTAACACTGGAAGATATTTTAAATATTTAAAATAAACAAAAAAAACACAATAAATAAAAGGCAAGTAAGAATCACTTCCAACCGAAACCAATCATGCAAACATAATTGCCCTTCAAAAATCATCAGAATAGAAATTATTGCGCTAATTTAATTTGTTGCGCTATTAGCCGGTTTATTATTTACTGCGACAGGCTTCGGTCAGATTTAGTGGTTTTTTTGCAGCGCAGCTGGGATTTTCTGTTTGTCGTTTATCGTTTCGTTTCTGTCTCAGTTCTCAGATCCTGTCGGTTCCGTCCGGATCGTCCTCCACCGCCCAGCAGAAAGGCAAGGAAGGAGCGGACAGTGAGACTCTGGAGGTGATGAAACGGCCCCAAAAACAACAGAGGACCAAAGAAAACACACATTTTAAATGATCACATGATCATAAATTTCAGTTTGTGCTTCGTTTATTTATTTATTTTTGCAGCAAGACTTGTGCACCTTTCTCATATCGCGCGCCTGCAAGAACGCTACGCTCGCCAACTACTTGTACTGGTGAGCAGCCGTCGTCCAGAACAGCAGCAGCAGCGTTTCACTGGGACACGATGGTGTAAAATCGACTCGTTTTTCTCCTCAGGTACGTGATTGTGGAGTGTGAGGATCAGGACACGAAGCAGAGGGATCCCAAAACCCACGAGATGTACCTGAACGTCATGAGGCGGTTCAGCCAGGCGCTGCTCAAGGCGAGTGTTTTCCTGGGCAGATTTGAGCGAGACATGTTCTGCAGCAAAGCAGCTGAGCTGTTTCTTGTTCTTCTTCTTCTCCGTCTGCACCGCAGGGCGATAAGAGCGTGAGGGTGATGCGGTCGCTTTTGGCCGCCCAGCAGACCTTCGTGGACAGGCTGGTGCAGCTTATGAAGGCCGTTCAGAGGGAGAGCGGGAACCGCAAGAAGAAGGTGACAGTAATAGATTAATAGTAGATTATTCTGCCAGCTGATTGATTGATCTAATTTTAAAGAATGGTCACATTCTGCTGAGTTTTCATTCAACAACTTGAGTCGTTTTTTTTTTTGTTGTTTTGTTTTTTTTTTATCTTTAGAGAAAAATGTTTTTATTTTTTGCACTGTTCTGTTTGTTCTTCCAGCAAATTGCCTTTTTTTTGGGCCTGCATAATGCAATTAACGATGAATCGATTACTGTATTAGTTGATGATTATTTCAATAATCGATTAATCCGATTAATCGCTTTCAGCCCTGAACTGCAGTTTAACGAAGCGTCGTTATTCCTTGTGAATTCTCTGCAGACGGAGCGGCTGCAGGCTCTGCTGGCCGACAACGAGAAGGTCAACCTCTCAGACATTGAGCCGATTCCTCTTCCTCTGGAGCCTCAGATCAGGATCAGAGGGATCGTCCCGGAGACGGCAACGCTCTTTAAGGTTTTCCGCTGATTAAGTCCTCCTCTGATCACGTGTCCGTCTGCCTTCGAAAGCAGATGACCGTCTGACACCTGTCACTTGGGTGTTGCAAGTGGAATAAAACTGTTTCCATATTGACTTGAGCGCAGTTACACCCATTAAAGAAATGCTGTCGACTTAAATGGAGGATCCGTTTGTGTAGAACCAGGTGGCGCGTTGGTGCAACAGATGAAGCTGGATTTCTTCCTCTTACTGATGCACACACATCTCCTCCTGCATTTCAGCTTGTTTTTTTAGTTTGCTTTAGGAGCGAAAGGCCTCCACTGTCTCACGTTAACTTTGCACTTCCTAACATCCTCATATTATTTAATTCTGAGAAATAAAAGAGCAAACAATAGACTCTTGATTGATGTGTTGTCACCAAAACTTTAAGAAACCAAGGACTCGTACTCCAAGAACCTTTTCACATATTACCTTCCTTCAACAACAAATCTCATTGTGTTTTATTGAGCATGAATGGAAGGAAAGGATACATATTTATTACATTTTTCTAAATGAGAATCTGAAAAGTGTGGCGTGCATTTTTATTAAACCAATTTTACTCTGATACCCTAAATCCAGTTAAATCCTCATAACTTCCAGAGCTGTTTTTCAAAGAAGAATGGGGCAATAAAATGGAGTCTTCAGATGTGTAAATATGGTAGAAACACCCAAAAACGGCATGTTGAGTCAGGTGCATGCCACACTTTTCAGATTTCTACTTGTGAAATGTTCTGAAACGGCGCATTATCTTCTTTCCACTTTATAATCCTCCACTACAATATAAATACAAACATTTAAACTCTTTGAAGGACTTGTGTGTCGGGTGGAAGAGCGTTCCCCACCGTGTTTTCAGCTTTGCTTCAGGTCCTATCTGCGTTCTGTCTCACTCTGTCTGCATTCTGTCTCACTCTGTCTCACTCTGTCTGCATTCTGTCTCACTCTGTCTCACTCTGTCTGCA